GGATTGGAGAAAGTTGTTCTTTTAAAACTTAGACTAATAAATGTATTTGTGATGGAGTTGAAAAACAATTGAAACAATATAATTTCTTTATTTTGTATTTAACTACTCTGGTCTTCCTTCCAAGTCCTCACCTGCTGGTGAGCAGGAAAACAAAACAAAAAGTAAATGTCAAAATATGCTTAAAATTTTATCTGATCCAATAACTAAATAGTTTCCTTAAATGGTATTCAAACACGTGTAGAAAGATGCCTGGTCTCCCAAATAGCCTCTTCTTTCCTTGTGTCTATACTTAGATGGTATCTGGGTGTATAGGAGGAGGCTAATTTGCTAAGAATGAGGGACAGGAATAGAGTAAACAATTTCAGGGGAGGTCTGTAAATTTTGAATTGGTGTTAAGTGCCATCAAGTCGGTTCCAACCCATAACAACCCTGTATTGGGTTTCCAAGGAGCGGCACTGGTGAGCTTGAATTTTGCAATTAAGCCAACTTTGCAGTCCAGAGCATTAACCTCCAGCACCACACCAGGACTCCTTGGAAAGTTGGAGAGTGTGCTTGATCGGGAGAAGTAAAAAGAACAGAGCAGGGCTTCCGTATAAATCCAAGTTATTTTCAATGGCAGGGCTTCACAGGTAACAGGTATGAGTAGAGAAGACACATGGCTAGATTGATTCTTAGGACAGAATTTTGTGGACAAATATGAAAGAAAGAAAAGGGATCAGGAAAAGTGTTCGAGATAAAGGATGGGATGTCTAAAGAATATAAAATAGGATTGCCTTGATGAGAACTAGTAGATTTTCTAGGGGAGGGATCCAGTCTGAAAGTCTAGGTTCTTCTCTTACTTACTACCATCTTATTTCTTAGGAAGTAAGCTGCATGTCTCCAAAGTGGACTGGACAAAAAACGTTACTGAACATGAGGAAGTGGTCATCCGCTGCAGTCTGGAGACTTCAGGCAGCTCAGCTTCCTTGTTCTCAGTCATGTGGTATTGGAACAGAGAAGGTTCTACAAGTAAAATGCTGGTGCATTTGCAGCATGATGGCATGCTGGAATATGGTGATGAGGGGCTCAGAAACCACCTACACTGTTACCGGTCGTCCCCTACAGACTTTGTCCTGAAACTTCATCGGGTGGAGATAAAAGATGCTGGAATGTACTGGTGCAGGGTGGCAGAATGGCAACTATATGGAAACCAAAACAAGTGGGTCAACCAAACATCAGATGAATCACAGCACATGACGCTCACTGTGATACCTTCAGGTAACTAGGGGCTAACCTTCCCCCGACTCATGGGTCAGGAGAATCTTTGGCTCCCCTGTTAGACTTTCCTTGTTGTTACTGATGTTGATAGGTGCTGTTGAGTCAGTTCTGACTCATAGTGACTTTATGCACAACAGAACGAAACACGGCCTAGTCCTGCACCATCCGCACAACTGTTGTTGTATTTGAACTCATTGTTGCTGTCAATGTGTCAGTCCATCTCACAGAGGGTCACCCCCGTTTTTTATTGGCCCTTCACTTTGCCAAACATGATGTCTTTTTCCAGGGGCTGGTCCTGACAACATGTCCAAAGTTCTAAGGAGCATTCTGGCTGTACTTACTTCTTCCAAGATAGATTTGTTTGTTCTTCTGGTAGTCCATAGTAATTTCACTCTTCTCGCCAACACCATAATTCAAATGCATCAGTGCTTCTCTAATTTTCCTTATTTATTGTCTAACTTTCACATACCATGCCTTGGGTCAGGTGCAAAGATATCCAAGTGATATCTTTGCTCTTTAACACTTTAAAGAGGTCCTCTGCAGCAGATTTGACTAATGTAATGCGTCTTTTGTTTTCTTGACTGCTGCTTCTATGAGTGTTGATGGTGGATCCAAGCAAAAGGAAGTGTTTGACAACTTCAGTATTCTCCATTTATCATGATGTTATATATTGGTGCAGTGGTGAGGATTTCTGTTTTCTTTGCAAAGAGGTGCAACCAATACTGAAGGTGTGGGCTTTGATCTTCATCAGTAAGTATTTTAAGACCTCTTCACTTTTGCTTTCACCACTCCTCAGTCAGTTTCTTGTATTGTGGTATGGTGGCTTGCATTTTCTGTGATGCTGGAAGCTGTGCCACCGTTATTTTAAATGTCAGCAGCGTCACCCATGGGGGGCAGGTTTAAGTTGAATAGCAATGGAACACTATCAGATTCACAACTCGTCTGTTAGTTTGTCCCACTGTGGTAGCTTACATGTTGCTGTGATGCTAGAAGCTATGCACAGGGTATTTTGAATTCCAGCAGGGTCACCCATGGTGGACAGATTTCAACTGAGCTTCCAGACTAAAACAGACTTGAAAAAAGGATAGGCAGGCTACTTCTAAGTGTTTAGCCACTGAAAACCTTATAAATAGCAGTGGATTGCTGTCAATTGGAACCAAAATACCAAATATTCAAAATTATGAATAACATGAGAATATTGTAAGATGAAGTGTCAGAAGATTAGCCCTTCAGGGTGGAAGGCATTCAATATAACTGGGGAAGAGCTGCTTCCTCAAAGTAGAGTTGTCCGCGATGATGCCAATGAAGTAAAGCTTTTGGGACCTTCATTTTCTGAGTGAGCATCACTCAAAATGAGGAGAAACAACCACAAACATCCACTAATAATCAGAGCATGGAATATATGAAGTATGAATGCAGGAAAATTGGAAGTTGTCAAAAAAGATTGATATCCTAGGTATTAGTGAGCAGAAATGGACTGATATTGGCCATTTTGAATCTGAAAATCACATGGCTTACTATGCTCTGGTAGCGTAGTGGTTACGAATCGGGCTGCGAACCTTAAGGTCAGCGGTTCGAAACTACCAGCCGCTCCGCGGGAGAAAGATGAGGCTTTCTACTCCCGTAAAGATTTACACCCTCGGAAACCCTGTACAGGGTCGCTATGGGTCGGACCCGACTCGATGGCACTTAACAACAACAACAACAACTATGCCAAAAGTGACAAATTGAAGGAGAATGATGTTGCATTTAACGCCAAAAAGAACATTTCAAGATTTATCTTGAAATATAATGCTGTCTGTGATAGGATAATATCCATCTACCCACAAGAAAAACCACTATTATTCAAATTTACGCACCAACCTGTAAAACCAGTGATGATGAAACTGAAGAATTCTTCCAACTTCTGCAGTCTGATTTTGATCAAACATGCAATAAAGATGCATTGATAATTACTGGTAATTGGAATGCAAAGATTGGAAATAAAAAGGAAGGATCAGTAGTTACAAAATATGGCCTTGGTGCAAGAAAATATACTGGCGATCACGTGATAGAATCTTGCAAAATCAATGGCTTCTTCAATGCAAATGCCTTTTTAAAACAACATAAAAGATGATTATACACATGGACTTCACCAGATGGAATACACAGAAATCAAATTGACTACATCTGTGGAAATAGATGGTGGAAAGCACCATATCATCAGACCAAACAAGACCAGGGGCAGACTATGGAACACACCATCAATAGCTCATATGCAAATTCAGGCTGAAGCTGAAGAATACTAACAAGTCCACAAGAGCCAAAATACAACCCTGAACATATCCCACCTGAGTTTAGAGATCATCTCAGAAAACATTTGATGCATTAGCCACTAGTGACCACAGACCAGAAGAGTTGTGGGATGACATCAAGAACATAATACAGGAAGAAAGCAAAAGGTCATTAAGAAGAAATGAAAGATGGAAAAGACCAAAATGGCTGTCAGAAGAGATTCATTTGCTTTATCATCTCTACTCTTGCTCTCCAGAGTAGAGATGATAAAGCAAATGGAAGAAATGAGGAGGTAAAAGTGCTGACAGAATATTTCAAAGGGCAGCTGGAGAAGACAAAGTCAAATATTATAAGGAAATATGCAAATATCTGGAGTTAGAAAACTAAAAGCATTTCTCAAGCTGAAAGAACTGAGGAAAAAACTTAAGCCTCAACTTGCAATATTGGATGATTCTTTGATCAAAATATTGAATGATGCAGAATCAAAAGAAGATGGAAAGAATATACTGAGTCACTGTACTTAAAATAAATGGTCGGTGTTCAGTTATTTCAAGAAATAGCATATGATCAAGAGTCAATGGTACTGAAGGAAGAAGTCCAATGTGCACTGAAGGCATTGGCAAAGAACAAGTCTCCTTTGTATTGATGAAGTACAAATTGAAATCTTTCAACAAACTGATGCATCACTGGAGGCACTCAGTTATTTATGCTAAGAAATTTGGAAGACAGCTACCTGGCCAATTGATTGGAAGAGTTCCATATATGTGCCCATTCCAAAGGGAGGTGACCCAATGGAATGTGGAAATAATGGGGCAATAAATATAATTAATATCATATGCAAGTAAAATTTTGTTAAAGATAATTAAAAAATGATTGCACCCGTCCATTGACAGATAGTTGCTAGATGTTCAAGCAGGACTCAGAGGAGGACATGATACAAGTGATATCATTGCTGATGTCAGATGGATTTTGGCTGAAAGCAGAGAATATCAGAATATCAGAAAGGTTTTTGACTGTGTAGATCATGACAAGTTATGGACAACATTGCGGAGAATTAATAATCTGAAGCACTTAATTGTGCTCATGAGGAACCTGTACATAAACCAAGAAGCAGTTGTTTGAACAGTACAAGGGGACACTGGATGGTTTAAAATCAAGAAAGTTATGTGCCATTGTTGTATTATTTCACCATATAATGAGCAAATAATCCAAGAAACTGGATTACATGAAGAAGAGCATGGCATCAGGATTGGAGGAAGACTCATTAACAACCTACGATAAGCAGATGATACAACCTTGCTTGCTAAAAGCGAAGAGGACTTAAAATACTTACTGATGAAGATCAAAGACCATAGTCTTCAGTAATTTTTGCACCTCAATGTAAAGAAAACAAAAATCCTCACCACTGGAGCAATAAATAGCAGATAAATGAAGAAAAATTCAATGTTGTCAAGCACTTCATTTTGCTTGGATCCTCCATCAACACTCATGGAAGTGGCAGTCAAGGAATCAAATGACATATTGCATTAAGCAAATCTGCTTCACAAGATCTCTTTAAAGTGTTCAATAGCAAATATGTCAGGCTAAGGACTAAAGTGTGCCTGACCCAAGTCCTTGTATTTTCAATACCTTCATAGGCATGTGAAAGTTGAACAATGAATAAAGAAGAATTGGTGTATTTGAGTTGTCCTGTTGGAGAAGAATACTAAAGGTACTATAGACTGCCAGAAGAATGAACTAATCTGTGTTGGAAGAAGTTCAATCAGAATGCTCTTTAGAAGTCAAAATGGCTAGACTTCATGTCTCATATTACGGACATTTTATGAGGAAGGACCAGTCCTTGGAGAAGGACAACATGCTTGGTAAAGTGGAGGGACAATGAGAAAGGAGACTCCCAATGAAATAGATTGTCACAGTGGTAGCTAAAATGGGCTCAAGCATGGCAGCAATTGTGAAGATGGTGCAAGAACAGATAGTGTTTCATTCTGTTATAGATAGGGTCTCTATAGGTCAGAAGAGACTCAGTGGTGCATAACAACGTCAGAAAACACCAGGATTTGAAACATTTTGAATAGCACCAGAATATAGTCCTGGAAGATGAACCCCTCAGGTTGGAAGACTCAAAGTATGACTGGGGAAGAACTGCCTCCTCAAAGTCCAGCTGACCCTGTTGGTAATGGTCATATGATGTACCATGAATTACACCTTGAAAGGCATAAAAGAAAGACATGTTTCCATGTAAGACTTGTTAATAATCTTCTGCCATGAAGACAGCTATTTATTGATGGTTGGCCAAAAGGTGACCCTTATCTATGTGGAAAGGTCGTATTATTTATGTGGGTGTACAACTTCAGGGGGGATGTGGTATAGAGGCTATGAAGGAGGAGACAGCAACCTTCTAACCTAGTACTGTGCCAGGCACATAATAGGCAGTCATTTAGTATTTTTTTAATGAGTGCAAAAATTGTTCCAGAAGATAAAATCAAGCTGTATCTTCCTTGGTAATCAATGAGTTAACAGATATGATAGCCACATCATTTTTTGCCCACGTCTTTGTGGAGAAGGTAAGAGATAAACTAACTATAAGCTAGTCTGTACTGTGGGAAAGAATCATCTGAAGTTCTAAGGGTACAAAAATGTATATGACAGGTTCCGTTCCATAGATCTCAGAGTCTGGAAAGGAAAGTCAAGTTCAACGTTAGGCTGTACTTATTCCAAGACAGATT